GAAGGAGGCCGACGCGTCTTGGGGCGGGAGGATGCCGACACAGGGGGCACGGTCACGGCTGTCCCGCCCCTCCAGCGCCAGAGCCTCCATCTCACCGTGGGGCGTCTTCGGGGGCCCCGCGTGTCGTCCTCCCCCCTCCTCAGGTCCTGCTCCAGCTCCGCTGTGTAACCATTGCGTCAGGCCAGCCCCCTGCAGCCCTTTGGCCCGGGCAGCTCTGCTGATGAAAGCCGCGGCCCACACTCTGGGAGGCAGGGCGGCTCTCCAGGGAGGCCAGCCTCAGAAACACTCAGGCGTGTGTTGCGTCTCCGTCCCCAGGGGCAGGCAGCTGGGCTCTGCTTCTGGCCTCAGCCGCCTCCACCGGGAGACCGCTGGGGAGGGTTTGGCCATTCATTCCTAACAAATACTCCAGCAGGCACCTGCTGTGACCCCTGGGACACCCGGAGGGAGAGGGCGAGCACCCCTGCTTGGAGCTTAGTTCAGCGAGGCAGGCGTCGGAGAGCTAAGCGCTCCGCTGGCAGCAGGGAGGTGACATTCAGCGAAAGATCTAAAAACGCAGGGGCAGGAAGCCATGAAGTTACAGGGCAGAGGCGCAGTCCAGCAGGGGCGGGAGTCCAGAAGGCCCGTGGCGCCGGCCTGCCGCGTCGCTTTTGAGAACTGGGGGCCGCACTGAAGGGGCATGACGAGTGCGGGGGCTGCAGCTAGGTGGGGAGGAGCTCATTGTCCACAGCCTCCTAGGCCACTGAGCACTTCTGCAGCCTCTGCCGTGTGAAGCTGCAGGTCAGCAGAGCTCTCTGGACAGAGGGACACGCATAGCTAGGCCTGAGAGCAGCATGTGGCCGCGTGTCGCGCAGACTCAGCCAGAGCGCAACCTGGGAGACCAGTCAGGCGGCGGCATAATCTAACAAAGGCAGTAAATCCAAACTGGGAGCAGACGAGTTGGTGAGCGGAGTTTGGACTGTGGCTTGAGGATGACTTAAGGAGTTCTGGCAGACTGGGGCGGGACATGGAGTCTGAGAGGAATTCAGGATGGCGCCGTGGTGTTTGGTTTACACAGCGACAGCTGTCACATCACTGAGACGGGGCCGGCCAGCGGGTCACTTGTGGACCTATCAGGCCTGCAAGGCCTCTCAGACATTCAAACGGTGACACACAGGCCGAGCCAGAGGTCCCAGGAGAGGCCCAGACTGGAAACGCACATTGGAAGCAGGCAGTGTGCACATGGAGGAGGACAGTCACTGTGCGACGTGTGCCCTCCTGGTGGTCAGCCCTCGCCCTGGCAAGTTTAGGGCCTGCCTTAAATTTAGAAAAAGCAGAATTGGCCAGGGCTTTGCTGTTATGTAACCAAGACTACGAACGTCAGCAACTAAAAATAAAGGGCACCAGGCTCTCCCCTCCTTGGAAATGGCCACGGGGACCGTGAGCCCTCTACAAGACAGGGAGGAGGGACCAGTGGGAGGCTGGAGATGAGGAACCTGCTTCTCCCCCTTCCACAGATGACTAACGTTTATCTTTGCCCACCAGTGTTCCAGAAGGAAGTGTGTCTTCATACATCACCACACCTGAAAGCAGGTAAGCTTAATCCTTTCTTAAAACCAACTGCTAAGAGATGCTGTTTATGTGATGTTCCCTTTATGGCACCCTAAGTCATGAATTTAGTTTGAATCAAGCAAAGCTGTGCAGTTAAGCTACACCCATCTCCTGGCCCTCCCCAGCAAGGTGACCAAAGCACTATTCTTAGAGCGTGTCCTAACTGAAAGCTGGCCCTGAGCAAGCAGTTAACCCAACAAAGATAACTGGCCGTTTACCACACCTCAGTCCTCGTCAAGGTTAGACTGAACCCAAGGACTGTTTGCTGGCGCTCCCCACACAGGAGGAGAAAGGAGCATGAATGGTCTGGTAATTGGCCCTGGAAACTTACAACAGGGTCCCCAGAGAGCTGGGGACTTTCCCTAGGGTCCCCTAAGAATGCATATGCAGGAACTTGGCTCTTCAAGGCACTGCCACTGTGGAGCAGGGCCGAGAAGCCAAAGGGTGAGCGCCAGCACTAGTGTTCCAGGCCACCTGTCCACGTGCCAGCATGAACCAGCCACGAGCAGTATGTGAATAAACGAAGGACTGTGTTTCCAGAACAGTGTCTCTAGAGACGCAGGTTGCAGGCCAGTGTGCGGCTGTTTGATGCCGTCTGTGCCAACATCCTCACCCTGAGTGTGCCCCTTCCTAGAGCCTGATCCAGCTGCACAAAAATGGCAGCTGAGTCGCTGCCTTTCTCCTTCGGGACACTGGCCAGCTGGGAGCTGGAAGCCTGGTACGAGGACCTGCAGGAGGTGCTGTCCTCAGATGAAAATGGGGGCACCTGTATCTCCACCCCCGGGAACGAGGTGAGAAAGCAGCTCTAATGCTTGGGGAGTCCATACGGTCCCTCCTCTTCAGCTAATCTCCAGTCTGCCTTATCCATTTCCTTGAAGGGAGAGTCGAAAACGTTCACCACGCTCGACCCTGCATCTCTGGCTTGGCTGACTGAGGAGTCGGGAGGAGCAGAGGTCCCTACAAGCACCTCCCAGAGCCCTCGCTCTCCAGATTCCAGCCAGAGCTCCCTGGCTCAGGAAGAAGAAGAGGAAGACCGGGGAAGAGCCAAGAAACGAAAACAGAATGGCCAGTCCCCAGCCCGAGCTGGAAAGCAACGCATGAAGGAGAAAGAGCAGGAGAACGAAAGGAAAGTGGCACATCTGGCTGAGGAGAACGAGCGGCTCAAGCAGGAGATCGAGCGCCTGACCAGGGAGGTGGAGGCCACGCGCAGGGCTCTGATCGACCGAATGGTCAGTCTGCACCACACGTGAACATTCAGGACTTGCCCACTACCTACCTTTTGCAGAGTGGCTACCCCTCACAGTGCCAACCACATGCCCCTCGGCCCTGTGCGCAGCAGGGAACAAAGGGACGTCCCTGCGTGCCTGGAGAGCGCCTGCGTTTATTACATCCATATCATTAAAGTCATTTTTCTATGAGTCAAGTTCTCACTTTTTCTTCTTGCCTTTAGCGGTTTCCAGGGGTTTCCCCTCAGCTAGCGCCAACTGCCTTTTCAGATCCAAGAGTTTAGCCACCTCCGCAGCAACCTGGTTCTTGTCTGCCTTCTGGGCCTTCAGCTCCCGGACGACGTTGCCCTAGACGAGGGGTGGGGGGGCAACGGTGAGGCCAGAGGCCCTGCCCGGGGTCAGCTGCTCTAGTCTCCAGCAGGGCTGAAGGCCTGTACCTGTTTTGTCACCTCCTCCATCAGGACCTGTATCTGCTGTGGTCCAGCTGCTGGCACGGTCTCCGCAGCTGGCTTGGGGGCTGCTTTTGCCTGCAGGATAACGACAGTTTACACCGGCCACCACAAGGCCGCTCCTAGCTCCAGTCTGATATGACACCTCGGAAAGTCGTTACCTGTAACTTCAAGGGCTCTTCTAGCTAAGACAGGAAAGAGAGACTGTAAGCAAGGAAGCAGCAGGACCAACAGATGGGCGAGTGAGGAGGAGGGGGTGCCTAGGGACACTTAGGAGAGGACACTGGCCGTTGCTGGCTGAGACCAGTCCAGCCTTCTCACCTGGCCCCCGCTGAAGCGCTGCCTCAAATTTTCAATCTGGTCATTTTCCAGTTTTTGAAACAAGGGGCTGATCTGGAAGAGAATTCTAGAATCATTCACTGATGAGGCATAAACTCGACCAGCCTACACAAAGGAATTCTTACACCCCACTTTCTGACCAGTTCCACGTTTCAGAGGAAGCGTGAATGTAACACTGAGCAGAGGCCTGGCTTCAGCGAACAACCCAGAAGCAACACTGGCACTCGCCATAAGGTACCCCACAGTGTTACCAATCAAAGATGACGCGAACTACTGGGTAACGCTGGGTTGATGGGTCAAAGAAGCCGCCGTTCCTGTCCGACCCGC